TAATGTAAAACTGCATGTTGTGTTTACTTGTGTTATCTTTGACTAATATTTAAATTTGTTTGATGATCTGAAACATTAAAGTGTGACAAACATGCAAAAAATTAAGAAATCAGGAACGGGGCCAACACTTTTTCACACCACTGTAAATTAATTGTTTTAAAAATGTATGTACAAATGGCAATGCAATATAATTTTTATTTTGGGCTGGTTTAAAAAATAATAATAAAAATAATTTCTAAGAGTCATTTTTCTTTTGGGCTGGTTTTTAAAATCAACTGAATCATAGTGATTCACTCTGAATCAAACTTCTAAATTGCTCCTGAATATTCAGTTTTGCCATTGAAGGGATGAATTACATTTTAAAATATAATCAAATGTATAAAATAATTAGTTTACATTGTAATAATATTGCTGTTTTTACTGTATTTTTGTTCAAATAAATGCAGCCTTGGTGAGCATAAGAGACGCTTTTCAAAAACATTAACAAACAAATATTGAAAAAAATAAAAAATAAAAATAATAATACTTCATTATTCCAAACTTTTGGCCGGCAGTGTATATTATAGCCCTGTCCTTGTTCATTGTGGTAACCACCACATTGAAGAGGATACATCTCTAATATTGAATATTTAGTTAAATCCCTATTGGTTATGGAACAACATACTAGCAACCAATCATAATTTAGAGTTACTGGCTTGAACAACATTATTAACCAATCATATATCTCTGATTTGAGGAGTATTTTTTGGTTCCTGCAGATCAGCAGAACATGCCTTTGGATAAAAGCATCTGCCAAATTCATAATTCTTAGACAAACAAATGACAGAACCTTCAACTAGTTCACTGAAATGAATCAGTTCTACAATGCAGCAAACCTTTGAATAGCACTTTCTTCCATTTGACCCAGTTGCATCCTGCATTAAAAGTGTTAAAATGAAAGTCAACATGTGAAGAACATTCAATAAACCTTGAGGAAGAATCCAGACAAAAGAGCAGTAAGTAGTTTTCCTCCAATGCAGCAAACACACATCTTACCTTCTCATAGTAGAGCAGCTCATAATCGAGAATAATTCCATTGGGCTGTTCAGGCTGTGGTGTGCTATTGTACTGCTTTTAAAAAACCTGGCTCACTCAGTTTGAATGGAGCTTTGGGTGCTGTGAATAAAGCACACACACACACACACACACACACACAGTATGATGAAAGAGTCAGACGAGAGGGTGATTGGAGTTGTTTAATAGCTTCGTGAGAATGTGCCCTTTGCAATGAAAGCCCATTTCTCAGTTCAAGCGCTCTGATTGGCTACAGTGTGTTTCTGGCCTCTCCGTCTTTAAGGAAGACACACCTGAGTGAACATGCACAGCCTCTAAATGAACCCACTGCCCATTGCATTCCTCTCTCTCTCTCCCTCATTTCCTCCTGTTCTCCTTTGCTTCGTCAAAGTGGTACAACTCTACGCTCAGCTGTTGTAACATCACACACAGCCTGTTTTCACGGGTGAATAGACTGAGGCGAGCATACGGATGT